ATGTACAGAATACACCTCTGTCGTGGTTTGGGGTAGAACAGAATTAATTCTGTTCAGTGATTTTACTTTTGAGCTAAGGTTCTTCTAACTAACTGCAGTGTTTGAAGTTAAAGCCATGTTTTTGCAGACTGTCTGCTTCTAGCAGTGATAACGCTCCATGTTTAGAGTTACCACCAGGGATTGGTGTGCAGACCACGGTCACTGCCAAAGCTTCTGCACCACACGGAGGGGGGCAGAAAGTAAAGGCTGCATCTGCAGGGAGGAGCAGACAGGGCAGGTGACCCTAAACTGACCAGTGGGCTGTTCCATCCCATATCTCTCATATTCACGATAAAGCTGATTGATCACGAGGGTCAACTCCTTCCACCTCCCTTCAGCAGCCTTCTTCCTGGGCTGCTCCCTCACTGGTGGGCACCCGAGGAGCGCTCTGTCCATCCTGCCTTTGATCCCGAGCCCTGAGTTCCCGGACCGAGTTCCCGCATCCAGCTCCTGTACCCAGTTGCTGTCTGCAGCTGAGTCCAGCCTGGGACTTTTCCCCAGTGCCTGCTCCGCAGCTTCGGGGTGAGGGTGATGTACTGCCATCGGGGCGAGTTGGGTTCAATATGGGGTTTGTGTATATTTGTATCTATTCCATTTTATTAGTAGTAGTAATGGTAGTATTGTTTTCATTCAAGCTGTTTTACTTTTTTCTTTTCTAATCGATAAGTCTCTCTCCCCTATTTCCTTTCTCTTCCTCTTTGGGGTTGAGGGGTTAACAGAGAGCATCTGTTATGGGTCTAGGGGCAGCCCTGACCCTAAACCATGACACTGGTATTCTCAGTAAGACAATTTTTAGTGTTCCAGAAATAGTTTTTGTGTGAGAAAAGCCTCAGGTCAGGAAATCCGAACAGGTGTTTAAGAGGAACACCTATCAGTAAAATGTCTTGCCGTATTTTTGTAGGATTCTTTTTTTAAGTCTGTGATTTTGATTATACAGTGGTACATGTAAACTACTATAACAAATTTTAACATGGTTTTAATTGGAATTGTACATACACTCTGCCCTATAAAACACTGGAATAACAGTATCATATAAACACCTTTCTTTTTGAAAAAAATGTGAGTAGTATTGTTAACATTAGACTAAGTTTAACTGCTTTTTCATTGAAATAGCTGTGTTTCTTAGCCATACCAAGTTTATAAAGCCTGGCAACTATGACTTAAAACTCTGGCTTTCAGGCATTGTTATATTACTACTATTTCAAGTGTAAAATTTTGGCTGAAAAAAATTAGGCCCTGTGGTTAAGATGCCTGAGAGAAACAGGAAACATTTAATACTTGGTTCCACTGCGTTCTCTGGCATGCCTTGATGGTAATGATGACAGGTTGCAAGCAGTAAGTGACCTTTTGTCACCTGCCAAACTTTAGAATAAAGGCAGTAAGTATTCCTACGTTGAATTGCATTTACAACATAGGTAAGAGATTACCCATACCTTTCCGTGCATATATTGTGGCCAAAGTATCTACTCATTCTGCAAAAAGGGAAGCATTTAATATTTTGCTTTAACAACCAGCACTGCCAGGTCCCCACCAAGCCATGTCCCTCAGCACCACATCTATGCATCTTTTAAAGACCTCCGGTGATTCCACCACTTCTCTGGGCAGCCTGTACCAGAACTTGACAGGCCTTTCAGTGAAGAAATTTTTCCAAATATCCAAACTAAACCTCCCCTGGTGCAATTTGAAGCCATTTCCGCTTGTCTTACTGCTTGTTACATGGCAGAGCAAACCGCCCTTCACCTCACCACAACTGCCTTTCATTTTACTTCAGCAAGCCTTTGACACCTGCAGTCATGAAAAAAACCCAGACTTCTACTGTCCTTAATCAAGCTTGGTGAGAGGTTGTTTTTCTTCATTTTGGCTTTTTGATCTCGTTTACTTTTGGTAAGGGAGACTTGAACAAATCAAGACCTTCTGTACAGAAGAAAAACTATAGCAACTCATGACTTAACAGTCTTATTTATAAATCTAGTAGGGAAAAATCGATGTACAAAAGTAAATGGCAATTTTTATACATCTAGATTATTTCAGCTGAATATTATCTTCATATGCATTCATTGTTTGCTTTTTTGGGGAGGGAGGAATGAGACTAGTTATTGATTTGTATTTTTTTCCCCACTACATTTCATGTTTGAGCAGAAGAAAATGTAGGTCCTTGCCAGTGTAGTTAACCATAACTTGAAGCAAGGTCCTTGGTGCAGGCTCTGTGTGGTGCTTTTAAATATTAGGATGTTTTATATTAAATATTTTTCTCAGACTAGAAGGAAAATACTGAAGATAAAAACTTTGATCTTACCAATATTCTAAGTAGATAACATTTTTAATGTTATGCTGTTGCTTTGGTTGAGACCATTTCTTTTTAAAGGTAAATATGTTCTTGTGATATTCTGTGAGGTCGTTTTTGACATTAGTCTTTAAATCAAAATGCAAGGAAAAAGTAATTTTAATTTATATTATACTTCTCCTTAATGTCTAATTAGAAAGAGGCACCTGGAGTTTCTGTATAAATAATTAAGCAACTATTAGTAGTTTTCAAATGCAAATCAGGAAAAAAATCTGTCTTCTACCACTTCTCAGAAAGAAGCAAAAAGAAGTGATTCCTATAAAATTATTTTTAAACTAATGTAATATGAACATGATTGTTGACTCGCGGAAGGCAGTCATACAAACAAACAAACAAAACAAAACAAAAACAAAAAAAAACCAAAAAAAAAAAAAAAACCAAAAAAAAACACAAAACAAAAACAAACAAAAAAACAAAAAAAAAAAAAAAAAAAAAAAAAAAAAACACAACTCAGAGCTGTAGCTCTTATTGCTTATTTGGGCCCATAATTCCCGCTTGGAAAGGTGTTCAGTTGTGGTGCTGTGTCATGCTTTCAGTTAAGAATATATCTGTGATGTCCTGCTCTTCAAATGGTGAAGCAAAACAGTTTCTATTTGGTCTTAGCCTTGTTTCTGTGATGCTCACGTAGCTGTATTTGTGTTTGCTACGAATGCTTATAACTCGAGACAGCTGTCTTCCTTTATGAAGAGGAATGTGTAATTGCAAGCAGCAATAGGAAGGCCAACTGTCTCAGAAGTAACTTCTTCTTGCCTTCTGAAAAATCCATCTGGGGTGTGGGGTGCTTCTTTTTAGAGGAAGACAGTTTGGCTTCTTCAATCTATGGTCAGTATGCTCTTTGTTAAAATTCTAGTGCCCCAAGAAACCTGTGTGTTCTTAGCTCTTTAGCAAGGAAATTGTTTTGTGTACATGGACAAGGATACAGCAGTAGGACTCAGAAAAGAGGAAGATTTTGTCATTACTGGACTTCACACTGGGTCTTCACACTTCCACTGGCATCACTGCCTTTCATGAGGTGCCCAACCCTTTGCAAAATCTGACGTTAAATTTTCACAGCTTTCTTTCAAAACGTGAAGTCTCCAAACTTTATTGTATTCTTTTGTCTCATTCCTTAAGGGAAGGAAAGAGTTAAAGTTTTATTTCTATACTGTTTTCCTGGACTCACTTGCTGTTCACTTCACTAATCCAGATGCATCTGAGCATGGGAGATATCTATGCTCTCACACAGCCCATCATTTGTCAGAAGCTGAAAATTTGTGTCTGGGATTTATATCATTGTCATCCTGGTAAAGGTTTGGAAGAGCATTCTCTTTGGTGCGGCACTTCAGTCCTAGAATAATAAGCTTTTTCTAACAAAAAATTCAGTCAGATTAATTAGTTTAATAAATGTTTTGTTGCTTATATACACATGTATGGATCATATGAATAGACATATGCACAGAGCATTAATATCTCTGCTGATACAATTTATGTGATACAGTTTTAAGCCATCTTTTGAGGCAGCATAAATCATACAGGTTGAGTTTTAAATATTATTGCATATATACAAAATAAAAATTTGCTGTTTGAGACTAATGTTAGGATCCACAGTAAGAGAATTTTTGGACTGTTGGTATTGTCACACTGGTTTTTCAAGTAGTGTCACTAAAGCCTTAAACTAAGGAAAACTGTCCAACTTTACATTCAGGTATATACATTTTGAAAGCTGAGTATACATCAATTGATATATTACTAGCTAAATAGACAGTTTAATATTTATTTGCAGATCTGTAGTATGCTAAGAATGAATTTGCTATCTACCAGTCACTAATTTTAAGAGTGTAAGAGTATATTTCAGTTTATTTGGGTTTTATTTTTATTTTTGGTTTTTACTACATTCCTATGTGTAACATTAAATATAAATCTTTTCACTATTATTTTTTCTTTTTGTCCCAATTTTTTTTTTTTTTTCAAAATATCACCAACTCCAAGCAAGAACTGTATGCAAATTTCTAAAATGAGATGTTAGTAAACTCTGTGATGATGGCAGCTTTAGTTTTTTGGTGGTAAAAAATTTGTCAAGGAAACAAAAGAAAAAAATATATTTTAGTTAAGTGAATACCAGTTTCCTGAAGGACAACAAAAAAAATGTTACCAAAATTAACAGAATGATAACTTGGTTTGGTTTGGGTTTTTTTTCTAGTTTCTTGGAAATCAGAATAGATTTTTTTTTTTTTTGTCTGTTTCAATAACCAAAACCTGATTGCTTCACTGCAGAGCAATAGGAATGCATTTTCTGTAATAAATTCATCTTTAAAATGCATGCAACCTATTTTAGTTTTTAAATCATATGTGAGATTGTTTAATAGTGCTATGATAATTAAAATGTTAACAAGAACCAGTAAATGCCCAGCTAAAAATCTAATCTGGATGCCTAGAATAATGAGGGGAGAAATATGATAAGTAGTTGTCAATATTAAAGCAGGCTGAAGGAGGAAGGCTTCGGGCCTTGTAGTAGGTAGAATGAAACAGCAGATTTGAGTATCCACAATCCTTTCAGTATTAAATTTTCAGTAAAATAAAATTACTTGTATATGAAAACATAGCCTTTCCCCAGCTCTCTTTTTTTACTGATCAGCTGATGAAGAGACTAGCAGCTCGCTGCTTTGCTGGCTTGTTAATTTTATCCCCACTAACTGTGATTTCCGATAGCCGGCCTGCTGATAGTGGTAAGGTAAATATCCTTTTTCATTGCCGTCTTGAAGATTCAGTAGAACTACATCACAGGCATGTGTAGGTGTGTAACACATCAAGAGTCGGTGTTCTCCGTTTTTCAATGTACAACTGAGTGCTTAAGGAGAGCAATGACATTAACTGTTGACAGCCTTGCATGCTGTATGTATTATTAGCTTTTCTGGCTTCCAAGATATGCAGAGAAATTTCCTTTTCTTAATCTTCGTTAGCTGCAGTGGTTTATAGTACGTGTCCTGCTTTAACCAAATGAATATTAATGAATTTGTGTGCAGGTTATGGGGTTTTTTTCTTCTTTTTCTTCCTAAACTCATCAGATCTCAAGCCTCCTTCATAGTGGTTATCTGAATACTGTGGAAGCATGATGTAAATTGTCTTTTGATTATTAAGGCCTAGTTTCAGGCTGTCCCTCAGGATTCTGTGTTCGTGTTTGTTCTGTGGATTTGCACGTCGGAGGATGCATAGGAAATGGATTTCAAAATCCCACTGGCGTTTTTAGCGTGCCAGGTTGTTTGTTGTTGTGCATCAGGTTTTGTTCACAAAACGTTTTTCAAGAGACATTGTGCACAATTGAGAAAAATTACGTCTAGGCTGTAATCACTCTTTTTATATTGATTGTTATGCTCACATGATCATAAATATTAGCCATGTTTGGTGCTGTGGAGAAATGAAGGTAATTGCCTTATGATTAGAGCTCTTTCAGCTGCGAGAAAAGATTGATTAGCATTTGCATGCACTCAAGGCAATATTGAGAGGCAAAAGGGACAAATATCAACATCAGTTATGTTCTGAGAAAACCTTAATCAGGAAGTCTTGTTTTAAGATTTCTTTTGTATTCTTTTTTCTTTTAATTTCAGTTACCTTATGACTCAGTATTTTTATTTCTTTTCTTCTGTTGGCTTTCCTAAATCAAGAAAAGTTCAGCTTCTTCCTTTATTGCATGGATCTGATAGTCAGTGTGTGAACAGATTCCCTTTATTTCTAGTGTAGGGTTTTGTAGCAATGTTTTTTTTTTATCCCTCTGCATAGTGCTGCTGGGTCTGGTTAAAAGCATACATCCAGGTAATGGAAACTAGTGTTCATTGTTTGTGACTGGGGGACGGAGGGGGGGAGGAGGGTTGGTTTGGGTTTTTTTGCAGGTTTTTTTGCATCCCATGTTTACAAGTGCTTTCTACAGTAAAACACTGTACTGTCAGTGCTTCTGCCTTAACTGTTGATTACTGTTCCAGAAGAAAATTATACATTTTGGAGATGGTTTTTTAACTCTTAGACGGTTTGGAACTTGCTTAAATTATTTGGAAGAGAAGTTGAGTCATTACTGCATAAAGTATCTGTGTGGTGTTTGTGTGCCCAAAGAACTGTATGTGATTTGGCTTTGGAAGCTGGGTGCAGTTTAGACTGTCCTGTTTGAAAACACGCAATGTCAAAGTCTGTTTTGCATGAAACTGCGTAAGCCAGAACTGCCACTGAAATGAACAAGTGTTTGTTGTACACTTACTGACACGGTAGCACAGGCCACTACTCTGTGTGAAACTGTGACTTGGTGTGGAATTCCAGGTTCAGAAAAGTACACGTCTGTTTAGGTGACAGTGGGATTCTTAGAACAAATTAACGCTCAGTGTTTGATTGCCAGTCACTCACTTACTTGTTGTACCCTTGTTTATAAATAAGCTGAACATTCAGTGTTGAATTTTCTGCATCCTGTGGGGTTGCATTTTTGTTTTCAAATGCAGTCTGTTATTTCCCTTTGCAGTATCTCTTTTGTTTAAAAATCATATTTTTTGAATCCATGATTATCAGGCAATTGAAGACGGTAATTTGGAAGAAATGGAAGAGGAGGTCCGTCTTAAAAAACGGAAGAGACGAAGAAATGTGGATAAAGATTCTGGGAAGGAGGATGGAGAGAAAGCAAAGAAAAGAAGAGGCAGACCTCCTGCAGAGAAACTGTCACCCAACCCACCCAAACTGACAAAACAAATGAATGCTATCATTGATACTGTCATAAACTACAAGGACAGGTGAGCTTGGAGATGGTCTCTCACTGTTGCACATGCTCTCTCCCTCTCTTGATCTCACTCTCTTTGTGATTTAATGGCTTTATTTTTATTTTCAGTCTAGAAGGATTTGCGGACACAGCATTTCTGAAAAGTAATTCCACTTAGGGCCTGATACTGTAAGTCTCAGCCTTTGTAGAGGGTTTTTTAAAGACCCATCTGATAGGAAGTTGCCAAAACACAAATACAAAAAGTAGGCATAGAGCTTCTGCTTAGAAATGAAGTCATTCTGCACAGGACGTGTGCTTAAGAAAATTTAGCGTGAGCAGGATTTTCCTTCACTTTAGTGGTAAGGTGTGTGCTAAGATCAGTCTTTTCATATACGTGGCTACAGTGTTATTAATAGGTCTCAGCAGGACGTAAATAACTGCCCCAAAAATGTAGTGCTCATATATCATGAGTGTATTCAGTTCACTGTGACTCTCAACTAACAGAACAGATGAGGAGGGAGAAGTGTTTAAAGTTCAGGTATTCCAGTCAGGGTCTTCAAGGAAGCGTCTTTTCATTTTGGATGCTGGCCCTTGAGCCTTCTGAAGTCAGGCACTTCTGATCAGGGCACCTGCTTCTCATTTTTAAAGTAGTAAAGCAAGTTCCATTAGCCTCCAGTAGGGCAAAGCTGCTTGTAGTAACTGATTGTTACTAGGGAAGTTAAAGATTTTTGCCTGTTGCTTGTGCCCTCAGAAGTTCATGTCTGACTCTGTCAAGCAATCTAACCACTGTACTGTGTGTAGTGACAAGGCATACTAGTCCCTCTCCCAGTAGCCTGTGTTTATGTAAGACGGAATTGGTTCTTACTTTAAAAAGTGTATGGAGCTATCTTCTGTTAGGAATTGCAAACACCTGTTAAGCTGAGCTCTTCAGCACAGGGAGCTATGCAGAAGAGTTCCAAGATCCTGTATTCTGATGGGGTTTTTTTGTGAGCTAGTATCAAACCACTGAGTCTTGTGAGAAGATGGGATAGAACAGAATTGCAAATTTAGAAATCAGAAAACTAGTATCTTAAAGTTTGAGTGTTAAGGTTGTTCCAGAGTTCAATGAATGTTTTCAGGATTTGTAGCTTTAGAACTAAGTAGAGTTTAAGCGTTGGAACCCTTCAGTTTTTGTTGTGGTTCATGTTTGTTCAGCTCTGGGCTTTTGTATTTGTGAAGGCAATTGGGGCAAGTATAGAGGGACAGGTTAATTGAAAGAAAAGTAGGCCATGAGCTTTATCTGGGGAAAAAAAAGTTTCTTCCTGTACTTAGTATTTGAATGCTTAAAATCATTGTCTTTAGCTTAAATTTTCAGTGCTAATAGATGTTTCATTTCTACTCTGAGTGAAAACAAGGGAAAAGATGTAACTCAACTCACTGTTCAGAAAGGAACTCTTAAAATTGGAAAGAAGATGCCACTGAAGTTCTTGAAGAATTGGTTTTGGCATAGATAATGATCTATTATTAATGTATATTGAAAAATGAGGCGTGTCCTAACCAAAATCTGAAGTTTTAACGTAGCAATATTGAGGTGATATTCGTGGAGGACTGAGCACAGTTAAGTCTGGAGAAAAAGAGCTGTCATGAAATGCAGTACCTCAGAGTGCATTATAATGTACTTACAGACTAAAAATAGGAAATATTTGAGTTGGAAACACATCGTGTGGTCCTGACAGAGAGAGAATGACCTGAGCAAAGAAATTATTGACCAAAGCTAACGACAAGCCATCAGTATTGTCTAGCCATGAGAAGAGTCTGACTCTGATATTATTGCCTGTGTGGATGAGGAAATAATTTATGTGTATGCCATTATATCTGACACCATTAGTGCTTTTGAGTTGCTGTATGTAGTACATGTACAAGTACTTTTCTACTCAAGAAGTACTAGTTTACACTGATACAAGTGTAAATAATTATTTCAGTGATAAGTAGCATGGAAGAGTCTTGCAAGATGAAACAGGTTGGTTTGAGAGTGAAAAATGATTGCTTTCAATAAATTCACCTGAGAACGAAGGGAAGCATAAACACAGGAAGAATGTAGGAATATGTGAAACACAGGATAGTGATCACGAGGTTATATGAGTGTGAACATTTATGAATACATTTAAGTTATTAACTTAAGAGTTCTGGAACCTTTCCATATGAAATAGTGAAGCAGAAATACCTAGATAGATTTGGGCTTTGTTCCTTGACTTTAAAACTTCTATATGATTATTTACAGTAGCAACCCTAGTTTCAAGGACCTTGGAAACACCCTTCTGGTTACACTGTTGATACTGATTTTGCAGTGTACAGCGTATGTGCCATTTTTGCAGACTCAGTTTGCAGTACTACACTACGTTTTAATCTCAGATTTTTGTTGCAATTATTTCAAATACTTCATATTTTTACAATGTATGTAAAACACCTGTTGAGAAGAGAGCAGAGTTGAAATGCCTCAGTCCAGCATTATTGTCTCATTTTTTCTCAGTTTTGATGCTTTTAATCTGTCTTCCCTTTCCTTTAGAATTAGGATTGCCCACAGGAATGAATAATGATATGTGTAATATGTATGTTATGTTTTAAGAATGCAAGATCAGTTTGTGTCCAGCTTAAATGCTTCAGCCTTTTGAAAGCAGGGGCAGTTTTACTGGAGATAGATGTTCTTTCCAGAGTAATGGATTTGTCTGCCAAATTGATCCCCAGATGCTGATTTTGCATCATACACATGAAGGCTTAGTCCGCTAAACTATCTTTTTCCCTGTGTGAATGTTTTCCTTTATTTTTTATTTCAGAGGAAGGCAAACTTTTAAGTGCAGCTTCCCTTTCCTGATTGTTAAAATCAAGTGGGGAAAAAGAATGATACTTAATACTTTGTAATCCTTCGGCTTCCTTACAAATCCACTGTCCTTTTCTGCCTTACATCAGAGTTAGATTAGGTGGCAGTTTGATACTGCTGCTAGTTTGCGTTAGGTTTGCTTAGATAGCAACAGCTGGCTTCAAGAGTCCCAGCTGATAGATCTATTCCATACAGTGATTTTCATTTGTGATCTACCTGCTTTATGCTCTGTGAGACTTAAAGTAAGAACATGCATGGTGTACCTGTTAACAGCATATAGCCTCCTCCCCATAGCATGTGGGCGTTGACCACATTCTAATAAAGCTGGTAAGAAAATCGTGGGGTGGGGTTGTTGTGCCCTGACCATGTTTCCTGCTTGGCAAGAAATTTCCCCTGTGGTCTTAGCATTTGTATCTGTGGTGCTTAGCATTTTGATCACTGCATCATTAAAGCCAAAATGTTTAAAACGTGCCACAGTATTCTAATTTTGTGAAGACCTATCTCAGGGAGAGAGTATTTTTCTCTATATGTGAAATGGATTTTATTCAGGGTATTTCAGCTGTTTTATCAAGTTGTGAGTTTTTAACTGTTGCAAAATGGTGAGTAATGTAATTAGCTCTTACTAATCTAACTTGTAATTAATTATACCAGTCAGTACTCTTGAGTATTCAAACATGCACAGCAAATAATTCTTATTTATAGCCAAGCCAGAGTTATGGAGTACACAGCCATATGTCAAAACCAGGAATTATATTTTTAAGTATTTTTACCCACTTTCATTTCAATGATTCAAACAGGCCCACTATGTATATTACTTCAGTTAGTTCTAAAAAGGAAGAACCACCAAATACATTTAACGAAAATTAATCATCTCCCTGCATAGCTGGGTTACTCTTGGAATCTGTTAAATACAGAGGAACTACCTCACTGTGTAAGCCCTTTTAATTCTCCTTTCCCCCCACCCCCTTTTTTTTTCAAAGAATGTCCTTGTGTGTTGCTTTTGAGTAGGAGGTGTACTTTGCACCGTGATTCTGTTTGTGACCGCTCTGATTAGAGCAAGAGTGCAGAACTCTTCATTCTACCCACTCTAAACTGGATTTCAGTGTTTATTAAAAGTGTGAAATTGGCCAGGAATACAAGAAGGTCTTGCAGTTTCAGCTTCATAGTTGTCTCTCCTTTTGATTCCAAAGAAGAAAGGGTGCTGATAGCACTAATACTTTTGACAGGTCAGTGGTGGCTGGCCACGTACTGCCGAGGAAAACAAATAGACGAAAGGAGCCTCATACAAATGAGGTCTAATTCTTCCTGCATTTAATTCCACTGAAGATTGTACTGACTAAATGGGTGGAAATATGTGCTTGTGTGCACTTTAAGCAATTTAACAAACATGAAAGAAAATCAGAAGTGACGAGTACAAATATTTTTCTAAGCAGAAATATTTTTTTTTAATGAGCAGTATTTCTTAATGGTTTTTAACTTACACAGCAAGCAAGTTATTTTTTATGTAAGCATGCATAAGGACTACCATGTTGAGCTGTTGCTGATGCAGTAGCAGCGCACTGTCACAGTTCTTTCACAGTCAGATCTTTTAATTTATTCTGGTCTTTTTTCCCTTCAGCATATATCCTCCTAGTTGCTAGGCAACCATAAGTGATTTTTACTGCGCATGATTTTTATGTGGTAGTTGTTGTGGTTATTATTTTCTAATTACAAACGTGGGGACAAGGATTAAAATCAGAGCTGCATTAATAATTACTGATTTTCTCGTGTTGCATCCACCACACAGCCATGTGAGATTTTTTAAGAAAAGATCACATTAATTTATAGTATAGATGCACATATACAAAGGGAGCAGAAGATAGTGTTTCTTTGTGAGAGGAGGTTCTATAAAAAGGTTGGAATGGAATAATCTGTTAGTGATGTGAGTAGACAAAATCAGGCACTAGTCTTCTGTCTGTTGCATATTTCATGCCAGTAATGTTTTTTTTTTTCCACAAACAAATGATTCTCAGTAATTAATTATATTGAGCAAAAGCTTGAAGGTTTTCTATGTAATTCTTATTTTAACAGAGTGAACAAATAACAGTTGGCTAGATTTATGTCTTTGAAATTGGATGTTGTTAGTTAATACTTAACTATTGTTATATTTTTAATATCAAATAAAATATAAGGTTGGGAGTGTGTATGTAAAAAGAGGAAAAAAAATATATATAGCCATGAGATAAAAAGCTCTATCATCATCAGGAGCTTTTTAAATAGGATAAATATTACAGAATCACAGATTGGCTATGGTTAGAAAGAACTTTTAAGATTGAGTCCAACCATTATCTGTCTCTACTAGGGCAGTCTCCACCATATCCCTCTGCACCCCATCTAGATGGCTTTTAAATACATCCAGGGATAGTGGTTCAACCACTTCTCTGGGAAGCCTGTTCCAGTCTTTGGTAACTCTTTTGGTGTAGAAGTTTTTCCTGGTGTCTAACCTAAACCTTTGATCTCGGCTGCTGCTGTGAGTGTGCAACACTTCCCTTTATGAACAACAACAAAAAAAACAGGTCTCAATTGCAAAGAGGTAGAAACACATGTTAATTTAGTCAGTTTTGTAGCGTGTCGTTAATGCATCGCTTTTCCTTGTGTTGCTTCCAGTTTCTCTTTGAGAGAGCACTCTGAGATAAAGACGAGTTCTGTCCTGCAGCATGACATAGCCACTTGCATAGATCATTAGCAGGATTGGTGCCTTCACATCCATACCATAAACACCTCCCACTGTGACAGGGGAACTATGAAAGTAATGGATTTGTTCCTCTAGTGTGAATCAGTATCGAAGGAGATGGGAGGTGCAGTGGCCTGACTTTCACAATTACCTGCTGGCTGGAGAGAAATAGTAAGACTTGGGTTGCAATTATCTGCTAATTTAATGGTTTCCTCTATTTTAATAACAGGGTGCTTCCCAAATAAATTGGATCTATTGGTTAAATTGCTAGTAACTGCCTGAAGTGTGAGATGCAAGTGGTTTGTCAGGGTATCTACTCCAACAGTTGTGCGGGGTAGTTAGACTTCACTGTCACCTTCCCTGACAGAGATGTCAGGTACCTCACCTTGTCTCACCATGCAGCAGCAGCACACAGAAGAGCATTCACACATGTGTCATAATTTTGCTGTAATTTAGGAGACAGACTGGCAGTTACTGCTAAGCAGGTAGAGGGGAATGGCTTCTGCTGCTAAAACTCAAACAGAAGTTGTCAGGATGAGACAGAGCCTTTTGGTTTTTAGGTTGGCATTGGATGGAAGACTACTCTAGCTGCCAGTTGGTGCCCAGAATATTGGTTGAACAACACTGATTAGCAAGCTGTGATTAGATCAGTTACATTATTGTCCTCTCTGATGCAAGGTGTATAAGGAGCAGCAGTGTCCCAGGACTAAACTGAGAACAGTAAGAAATCTTGGATTAGGTGAGCAACAGCTATTTAGTTAATGAGGAAAACCTGTTCACTCCTACTTGTTCATTGGTCTGTCAGGTCTGTAAGAAATGTACTATGTCCTCAAATTCTCATGCTATTTCAGACGTTTGGAAATGCCTAAGACATGGTAGGCATTCGTGATTTTAATAAAGGGCAGAGCTGTTCTGTGCTTTTTATCAGCCTTGTCCTCCATGGCAGAATTGTCTCAGTTAACTTTTGGTTCAGCATTAATTTAATGTGTCTGATAAGATCCCACACCACTGTGGAGGGTGGCTGGAAGAGAGAAGTTCAGGTGGAGATCAGGACTTGGCAGCCTTCTTCCCCAGCTCCTCTGAAGGTTGGTGTCTCTGAGTTACCATCCAAAGATGCAGATGAGAAAGAGAGCTCTTTTTTAGTAGCTGTGGCAAAAGGAAGCATGTGAATGTGGGCTGGGAGGTGCTTGTGAATACTGTGTGGAATGAATTACAGTTCCTCTCAGCAGAGGTTTGTTCTGCTCCTTTGTCTGTGAGAATAATGAGACACACACAGGGACAAAAAACAAACAAACAAACAAAACTACAACAAAGTGCCATCAACAGATTTCTTATGTCATCAACATACGACTTATCTGAGAAGTTGCAAAGAGGAAGATTTTGTAAAAAGCCTCAACTTGAAACTGTTAAAATAGCTATTAATAAAAGATGAAAAAATGGGAAGTCTGGAAATCTTAGAACTTCTGTACACTGGTAAGTGATAGGCGATGTTCCTGGAGTATGAGAAATTTTTAGCTAACCCATCGCTTTGTTTCAGATGACTGAAGTACAGATGACAGTAGTGATTTTCGCAGAAACCTAACAGTCATTAATGGAAGTCAATAATTTTTTGTTGTTGTTGTGACCTCTAGTTAGCCTGGTGGCAATCAGCATTTGATATAGTGGAAATCAGTATGAATAAATGGTTTGCTATGAAGAGGCAGTTGAAAACAACTGTAAAACAACCAAAAAGGAGATAAACTTATACTAACAGGAGAAAAGGGTAATACTGTACTCGGCAAACCACTATGGAATGAAGATTCAAATAATGATCCTGCTTCCATAAAGCCTCCTTACGCATATGATCCTATAACAGTGATGGTATGTTAGGACAACAGCACATACGATACATCTTAATTTGTAAAATAATTCTCTGTAGCAAATGAAAAAAATCAGAGCGGGGTTCAATTTCTAATTCATTGAAAGAAAAACTTGTGATTTAATTTTTTTTCTTCCTTACGACTAGATTGTATGTGTGAATGTTTTTTTTTGTGAGAAAGCTGTAGTAATTCTTTGCATGATACATTTGTTTTTCTCCAACAGTTCCGGACGGCAGCTGAGTGAAGTCTTCATTCAGCTCCCATCTAGGAAAGAGTTACCAGAGTATTACGAATTGATTAGGAAGCCAGTGGACTTCAAAAAGATAAAGGTAAGAACGTTTTTTGGAAGTGGAGATTCCTATATTTCTTCTTATAGTGCCTGTACCTGTATTTGTGGCTTTGATTTTAAACTTTGTTAAACACCTTGTTAGAAATTTTGTGTGCTGTATATTGCAATATACAGTACACAATACAAACTGGAATTTCAAAGTCAAATCAAAATGTAGCAGTCTGACCCGAATGACACTTAGAATAATTGAACCGTTCTGGTTGGAAGAGACCTTCAAGATCATCAAGTGCCACAGTTAGACTTGCAGAGATGACATCTCATTTTTTTTTCAAAAACCTAATACTGAGTCTATAAGCACATCTTCAGTAAAAACACAGTGTTGGGAAGGCTTAATGGTTCTAGAAGATTGTAGTCGTCCATAAACTAGCATCCCATCCTGAAACAGCCAGGTCAGATCCAAACACAGTTTGGCACATGGGATTTAGGCAGGTTGTTGCATGATAGGTGATGTTATAACTCTTATGACTTTCATTTGTGTCATAGCTTAGTTTGTCTATGTGCTATAAAGAAGAAACTGGAACTTCTTTCACCAAAAGGTCTCAATTTCTGTTACTTTGTCCCTTCCAGTTCACATAGCAATTGCTTAATTTTTACTCTATTACCCTGGTGTGGTTTTATGAGTAATACGTTAACACTATGTTTTTAGACTTACTTTGGTTTAAACAGACATTTATTTTGATGCTTAGATAAAATTTTTTAAAAAAAACTTTTTAATGTGTTGAAATCCATACTGATTTGGTGTCATGTTTGCTGTTTTTTCTTTCTGTACCACTGTTCATCCATACTTCTCTGAATTTCCTCAACAAATGCAACAGGAAAGGATTCGCAACCATAAGTATCGGAGTCTTGGGGATTTGGAGAAAGATGTCATGTTGCTGTGTCACAATGCTCAGACATTCAATTTGGAGGGATCACAGGTCTGAATGAACCACTCATGTTAAACATACAGGTTTCCCTTACCTAATGTTTTCAGTGCTTATAGACTGTTATATTGTGTATATAAACCCTGTGTTTTAATTCTTACTTTGAATAGAGAAAAATGCCTAGGTTCTTAGAATCATTCAGAATTCACTGGAGGCAGCTGCAGCATGTGCATGCAGAGAAACTAGTTTTGGCTCTAATTCTGAGATCATTTTTGTCCAATCTGTGTTTAGTTTAGAGCAGCTGTAAGACTGTTGAACCCATGGTAAAAGGTAGCACAAGTAGAGTGGTAGAGCTTGGGTTTACCACAGTTCATGATTGAAGGAGCAGATATGACAGTACAGCTGGAGGAAATGTTGAGGAAATACTTTGTAGTGAGCTCTTCAGTTCTGCTAATGGAAGATACAAATTCAAGGTTTGTCCAGCAGTAAAGCTTTGTGGATGAAAATAGTCTAGAGAGAGACTATATAGTCTCTCAACTCTCTGGTAATTTGTTTTTATTTTTAGAAATTTTTGTTGTTGTTGTTAATAGTGAAAGAGTAGTGTCCATTTCAAAAGATAGTAATAATAAATCCTAGATGAGTCTTAGAGGTTTAGGGTGCAAAATCTCACCTCAGACAGATACTTCACACACATGAATGTGGTCAGTGCTGTGAATTCAGAATGGGACACTGACACAAAAGGGAAGACTACAAAATCTGGATGACAAATAAGAGATGTCTCACAATACACTGAAACATACTCTTAGAAGATTGTTTTTGCAGATGAGGTACAAGTAGTGTGATGTAAATACAACATTGAATTGAAACAGAGAACATGAGGACAACTCCTGTAATGTACAAGAGAAAAAAAATGTTAAAAGAAACCTAAGTAAAAGTAAGCTGAAGGCTGATGCTGCCAATACTAATGCATCCTTCAAAATCGTAAACATTTCTGATTAGCATTAGCTAAACTGTGGAGTTCAAATCAAAATTTGAGAACTAAAAATGAGCACGCACGTAATTACAGAGGATTGTTGAATAGAGCTCATAATTTTGTGATTATTTTTGCTGTCTAGCAACAGGAAATGTTTTCTGTAACATGTACATGCAGTGATTCTACTGTCTTTTGTTATATGGAAACAACCTTTACATAAATCAGCTGAAGAATATTTTCCTAATAAAAATAATGATGAAAGGATGTGTGGGACAAAATTTTGCTGCATGTCCAAATGTGGTAATGTTAAGAAAACCACTCTTAACTGGACATTTTAGATGTAATGCATTTTAACAATAGTATTTTTTCTGGCTCACTATTGACAGATTTCTTCATTTAGAGCATGAAAACTTAATGCTGGCATTTCTTGTAAAATTCATTGCTACTTAGTATTTGAAAAGGCTGTATACTCTTGAGTTTCCTCTGGAAATTAAGGTGTATGCTGTAAATTCTTGATATTGTTTGACTTTACAGTTCTGACATAGGTTTGTATTCATTATGTAGATCTATGAGGATTCCATTGTTCTTCAGTCTGTGTTCAAAAGTGCACGACAGAAGATTGCCAAGGAGGAGGAGAGCGAGGATGAAAGCAATGATGATGAAGATGAGGAAGAAGAGGAGGAATCAGAGTCAGAATGTGAGTCCCCAGCTAAATGCTGAAAAGAAAGTACATCTGGGGATGGAAGGGGAGATCTTCCCGTTTTACATGGAGACTGATCATAAGGTTCTGTTTTCCATTGGTGAAAGTAACTTAGTTTACTGCTTAACATTCAGCTTAAGGCTTTTGGCTGTATGTTGTAGCTATACCTTTTAGAGTATAGTAAACTAGTTTTCAGCCAGAAACAAATCACAGAGGTGCTGCATGGAAGCAGATCTGACTGGCCATGAGTGTTGATAAACCCTTCTGGTCTTGTTCATGTTATTTGTTAATAAAAACACCTGTAAAGGCTAGATACAGTCTTTATCTGTGGGTGGTCAGCCTTCAGGCATTATGTTGTTGTTATTGTTTAGACCCAGCCAGGAGCTGTGCACCATGTGGCCACTCACTCACCCCAGTCTGCACCACGGGATGGGAAGGAGAATAGAGGGAAGAGGGCAATACCCTGTGGGCTGAGATAAGGAGAATTTAATGGAACAACACAAGAGGAGAAGAAAGGACAGTAATAACAATAACAGTAATGAAATAATATATAAAATGAGTGATACAAAATGCACTTACCACCTAGAGCTGGACCGAAGTTCTCATGACAGAGACCATGCACCCTGCCCAGCCTGCCCTGTGTCCTCATACAGTGGGCGTGATGTCAGGATGGCATCGAGTATCCCATTGGCTGGTTTGGTTGCCTGTCCTGGCTGTGGCCCCTCCCAGCTTCTGGTGAAAGTTGACCCTATTCTAGACAAACCCAGGATGCATATAAAACCCGTTGCTTGGTTAAGAACCAGAAGATGTTGCAAATACGCTTCTGTGTGACAAGGACTAAGTGAAACTCCATTTCAGAAGCATCAGGTGACACTCATTCACTTAAATACATAGTAAGAGTGAAAAAGGAGGGATCCCATCATTCCACTGTATCCCACCCAGTACATCTACCCATATTCACCAGGTACACCATCTGTTTGGTCACAGAAGCTGTAGTACTTGGCAACTACTCTTCCACATGTGTCACACAGGTGTGCAAAGCATGCAACTCTAGCAGTTCATTTGGAAATGAGTGGATATTCTGGAATCACAGTTTTAACATGTTCTTCAGAAAGGTGTCAACTGAAGATTTGCCAGTCACCTTCACAAAGCATTTCTGTAGTTTTAAAATTTTAAAATTGTGTGTTTGTACAAAGGATGTACATTTCTTTGTGGAAAAAAAAAAAAATTTTTAGTTGTGTATCATCTCACAGGACCATATATGACCTATAGACAGCATATGTTCTGAGAATAAAAAAGAAGATGGTCAACTTAAAGCTATTGCTTATGGTTTAATGCAAATTATTGTTAAAACAATGAAGAAGTAGAAAAATGGAAGCAAATAGCCTTGCTTCATTGTTCCGTAGTTCAGGTAAAGAACAGAAGGGAACACCTTTTCAGGCTGCTGCCACAAGTGGGTGAGTTTCCATGAAAAGAGGCATTCAAGGTTTATAATCAAAAGCTACATTCATGCATACTGTTAAACTTTTTACAGCAAAATCGGTGAAAGTCAAAATCAAGCTAAGCAAGAAGGATGAAAAAAGTCGGGAGAAAGGAAAAGGCAAGAAGAGGCAGAGCCGAACAAAAGCCAAGCCTGTCGTGAGTGATGATGATAGTGATGAGGATCAAGATGAAAATGTAAGTTCTGCTCAGTGAGACTGTGGAAGTGCTTGCAGTGATTGCGTCTCTGCCCTGTCCTGCTTGCCGTCAGAATTCTCAACTACTCATGCTTAAGCACATTTTTAATCTATATTGATCATTTTGAGGGAATTGTTGCAGGGGTTTTAGTTGTATCTGGGTGTGCTTACGAGATCTGATCCTAGTGCTGAAAGACAAGAAGTCTTAAGAAGTTTAGAGCTTATTTTCCTGGAGCTGTTTGTACTTTCATTAATCTTTAAACCTCATGGTCTGTTTGCTTTTGTCCACAGATGAAAAACGCTTAGCTTGATTTTTCTGTTTTTTTTCGGTGAGTGGTTCTACTATCGCAACAAATTAAAACAGATCTCTTCCTAGTTGTTTTAAAATTTCCTAGTTGTTCCTTAGGGAGAAAGAAAGATCTGCTGTCTCCTGACTTTGTGTCTCTCCTTCTCTAAAGAAGTCTACAGCAATTAAATGTCATGAAAGAGAATTATCAGATAATGTAGTAGCTTTCTTAAGGCTCTCTTGATTTGCCAATTTACTTGTCATTTTTTCTTCTTTTTACTTTCTTTTATTTTTTTTTTTTCCTTCTTTAACAAATTCCACAGAATAGCTGGCAAAGAATTTCTGACTTGTCTTGTGTCTCTTACCTCTAGGACCAGTCGGAAGCAAGCGGAAGTGATGATGAGTGATCCATAGGGTTTATTTTCTTGGCAGAACTGACCCTTTTCCCTTCTCTTCTCCCTTCTCCTATTTTACACCCAGTGAATTCATTTTGTCAAATAGACATTGGGTTGTTTCTGTGTTCTCATTCTCTATAAATTAGCTTTAGGATAGTGCTAGACAAACGTATGATATCATAGTGTAAAAAATTTAAAAAAAAAAAAAAAAAAAAAAAGTAACATATTGTGACCAAACGGGCCTCAAAAGATTTCAAAAAATCAAAACAACAACAACAGAAAAGCTTTTGATGGAAAATATGAGTTGATAGTCTATTTCTATGCGCTGGTTTTAACTTGACAATGGTCCTATTGTGCCTGGTCATTTGAGGGGATGTTTTCCAGTGGCATATGAAAGACAAAAAAAAAATAAAAAAATAAAAAAAAAATAAAAAAAATTTTGTAGCATTGATAACCAGAAAAAGCCATTAAAAAGCCACTGGTTATTTTACTTTTCATCAGGCAGTTTTCAAAGTTTTTATTTGTTCTGTATGGTTTTTTTACACTGTGGTACATATATGCAACCTTGTTTAATAGCTTATAAGTGTACAGTAGTTAGAATTCATCCGCCGTGTCCCATATACGTTTTTCCACTTTACGCTTGACGATCTTTAGAAAAATGCTTTTTGAATTGTATCAAATTTATGTCTACTGTAAACTTTGCTTAACTTTTTTTTCCTTGATTAAAAAAGTTGGGTTAAAAAACCGCTATTGAATATTGCAATCTATATAGTGTAATGGATGGCTTCTTTCATCAGACTTATCTTCTATGTTACCAATGTGGTTTATCACCTTTTCCCTAAAGTGTACTTAATCTTTGCTTTCTTTGCACAATGTCTTTGGTTGCAAGTCATAAGCCTGAGGCAAATAAAATTCCAGTAATTTTGAAGAATGTAGTGTTGGTGCTTTCCTAATAAAGAGGCAATTTAGCTCAATAGATGCGGCCTTGTGTTACAAGTTCCACAAAAATCTTTTTATAGTAGGAATGAAAGGGCAGGAACGTCTCCTGTAGAGAGGTCCACTGTGGTCTGTCATGAATGTAAAATACAAACTCATTCAAATAGCCTGGAAGTATCTTCAGAGATGGATAGGAAACACACAGTACCTTGAATTAAAAGTGTATTTCATTCCTAATTCTGATTGAAGGGACTAAGCAATAAAATAAACATTTCTTTTTCTTTCAGGAAATATATGTCAGTAAGCTTCAGTGGGCATGCATACAATTAGTTATGCAGGCAGTCAGCCTGCCTATTTTGTGTATTATCTTGAGGTATCAGGGTATCATTTCTCAGTATGTGTCTACATCATATCTCTTTATACCGCTTTGCAGTATGTTAACTGCTTCAGATTCTTTTAGCTCAGTTGAAAAGGGATTTTTAAACTGATCTGGTGGGCATTTGTGCGTATTAGCCCTGCACTGAGCTAGTCACCTTTGCTTGGTTATAGCACCTTCAACCATATCATTCCTCATGTGTGTCCTGGCTGAATGGAAGACCTGGGGTGCGTTAGGAGTAGTGTTGCCAGCAGGCACAGGGAACTCCACTCCCCTCTACTCAGCACTGGTGAGATGTATCTGGACTGCTTTGTCTGGTGGTGAGCTGCCCAGGAAGAGAGACATGGGCATATTGGAGCAAGTCCAGCAAAGGGCCACTAAGGTGTATATGACGTGTAAAAGGAGACTGAGGGAGCTGGGGCTATTCAGCCTGGAGAAGACTCAAAGGCAGCTTACCAATGTGAACAGGTGTCTGAAGGGGGGGTGCAAAGAAGACAGAGCTGGACTCTTTGCAGTGGTGCCCAGTGGCAATGGGCACAAACTGAAACACAGGAGGTTCTCTGAACATCAGGAAACACTTTTTTTACTGTGAGAGTGACCAAGCCCTGGCACAGGTTTCCAAAGAGGTTGTGCCATCTCCCTTATTGGAGATACTCAAAAGCTGTCTGGGCAGCAAGCTGTAGGTGGCTCTGCTTGAGCAGGGGGTTTGGACCAGATGACCTGCAGAGCGTCCCTGCCAACATCAGCTGTTCTGTGATTCTGTGATGGGGTTTAGTTTGGTTTGCAGAAGCTTCCTGTCTTTGGTGATGCTTTCACAAGACCACATATAATGAACTAAGTCTACCAACCCATTATGCAGGACAAGAAACATCTGGCAGTAGAATTCTGTCACTGCTGGTGCAGACTGGATCTAAACTGGCAACTTAGATTAAAAGACACAATATCATGCTACGCATCCCCAGAGTGCCTGATGACTGTGCAATGACCCAGTTTATTTTTCAAGAACTTATTATTTACAGATGAGTGCTTGGCTGGAGAATAAAAATTAACTGAGAAGACCCAACATTTCTATTAAAAATGAAAGTAACTTTCTTTAGTCTATCATTATATGCCATATAAGGATACTAATTTGCATGGAGAAATACATTTGAATTCTGTGCTGTGGTTTTTTTCATGTTGAAGTAATTTCAAAATATTTTCATTTCTCTTCTGATTTGGTAGATAAAATACAATTATTTTTATCATTAGATTAAAACTGATTTATGACTGTCAAGTCATGCCTGTGCGTCCACTGCAGTTGGTCCTGCTGTTCTGCTTGGGATTTGAATTTGTTTCTACCAAGAGTAATTTTTTTAATTGTTACCTTTGCTTTTTCCTATGAGTTGCTATGAATTTACTTCATCTTTGAAGATGAGGGTTTTTTTTCTGCTAATCTCAGCACATCACTATAGGACCAAAAAGATTCTCGCAATTTGTTGCTATTTTTAACCTTACGAATTCTTTAAAAAAAAAAAGAAGAGGAAATTTTTTTTTTTTTTCAAGATATGTACAAATCCATGTTAAAGATGGAAGCACACTTCTACAAAATTCCCTTTCTGGTACACCTTGACATGCAAAGCACTTGGAATACCTTTTGGAGGATACACAAATAAAAGCACAATGATACAATCAATATATAAAAATAACTCATTTCCTACCTTAGTAACAGAAAATTGTCTAGTAAAATTGGAAACGGTGTAGCTTGGTCACTGAGGAAAATAGGGAAAGCGAAGTAAATAGCAGGAGGTCTTCTTGTTGCATGTGCTTCTCCTGGAAAGTGGGCAGAAGTGTAAGTGGGCCGGGTGAGTAACATCTAACAGCTTTTATACATCTCAGATGCTATTAATTGTCTTTATTTTCGCCTCACACCTTCTGAAAGAAACAAAGAAAATGCAAACCCGTTCACTCACTGATATAAATGGCTTCCTACTTAAATGTGTTGGTCCTCAGTGCCAAGTGTTGCACTGGGGGGCATTCAGGCCCACATACATTTTTGGTTTTTTTGTGTTGTGTCACGCTTTGAAAACAGAGGTGTCAGTGTTCCCCCAGCACCAGCCTTGGCCGGGGAGCTGTTCTCTTCACTCACTCAGCTCGTGCATAAAGCTGGCGGTCAGGGATTGCTGTGGCAGAGGCACGGCAGGGTCTGGCACATCAAAGCCTGCCACAGCTTCTGCCCACCGAGACAAAGGCACGGCTGATGCAGTAATAAGCCTTCAAGTACCGTGCCATTGTGAAGCTGTTGCCACATGCTCAGTTCTGTTAACTACCCAAGGACAGCATTAATACCTCTATTAATAACAATCTACTATTACTTTTTCATTAAAAAGGCTTGCACAGTAGGGTTTACTGAACACTATCTAGTCTAGAACACAGCACATTAAAAACAAGAATTTTTTTATAAAGGGATTTTTAGACTAGTCTCTTATTTTCCCTTCTGCTCATCCTCTTTAAAACCTCTGAAATATTTTTAAATTCCTAAAAAAAAAAAAAAAATAACCATTTTTTATTTTGAATAGGGACTTGAGCTGTAAGCTGAAACCTGACTTAAGTTCTATAGGTTCACAAAAGGGGCTAGCAAAAGTAGCTTATGAGTATGTTGACCAAAAGGAAGAAGGGGTGGTAGGTTCACAGCAGGCAAAGAGGTGAATGACACGATTTTGACTCCTTTACAGTAGAATTATTTAGAGTTTTAGGAGTCTACATCGTTCTGTTTTATTGAAATTGGACATGCCATTCAGTGGAGACAGAATTTTGTACTTTGGAACTGTGCAGTCATACATTTTAATTGTTCAAACATTAAGGGCCACTTTTATTCTTGTTGTGACTTTGTTAATTAAAATCAAAACCAAATATGCCATGGAGGATTATCCACATGTGGCCTGCTTATCCTCTGTGAGTCAAGTCAGGAAGATTTTATCCAATAATTAAATGTGACATAAAACAAATGGTAACCAGGAATTGTAACAGCACTCTTACTTCCCCTTAGCTCACCTTCACTTCAAATGAGAGAAGGCTGGTGCGGGCATATATCTATTTATTTTTTCATGTGGAGGTCACACCTACTTTCCAGGCTAGTCCATGTCTCCCTGTTTGCTTTACTTGTGAGGGTTGTGAATGTGGCAGAATTAACCATACCTTGGACTCCACGTTCACACAGAGAGATGGGTGATCTCTCTGCCTTGATCTGACACTGTTATGAGGTAAAATATTTTTATTCCTCTGTTTCTGTTGTAAGGAGCTAGTATTTCAATCCATACGGTATTTTATTTCTCCCCTATTTTCATGACCACAACAGACATAGTAAGAACAGAATTCTTCTCCAATTAGATGATGACAGCTTGTATTTTCTTCCTACTTACACCAAGTTGGTGTCAAAGGCTGAATGGCAACAAATAACTACAGCACAAAGCTCTTGCATTTTCAAAGTGACTGGAAGACTTGTATTGGAAATTATACCTGAGACACGGACTAATTTCATGACAATTTCCAGCTTGGGCAGCTGCTTCCTGAGTTTGTGCTTGGTATTCAGTGTCATATTTTCATGCTCAGTCCACTGCTGTGGTGACATACACTGATACTTCCTTAGATTTACCACTTATGATGGGATTGACAGTTTTAAGCTGTGTGTTTTGTCATCTGCCACCTGTGAATACAACCATTACAGAGGCTATTCTCACACTAAGAGGTTGGAGTAAAAACAAAGAGAAGACTCCAATACTAAGACATGAATTCACTGCAAATAAAAGACAACTATCTATATGCCAAACATTTTCTTTCTCTGCAACTGCCACAGTTTCTGGTGGAGGTGAATTTATATCCTCTT